TATATATATATATATATATTTCTGTTTTAAAATGTGTCTTTGAGAAAACATCTAAATGAAGACAACAAAGTGAAGACTTGGGATTGAGTCCAAGGAAGCATAAATATATAGTTAACTTGATTATAGTTGTTATTTTGCTAAAATGGGAAGAGAGAGAGAGGGTTTAGCACAAAGGGGGCAAGTATTTAAGCACATAGGTGTCACATAGGACAAGTGGGCTAAGGATCTCCTCCCAACAGAATAGATTCCAACATATCCACTATTGATATAGCAAACATGAAATTTGAACTTTGGAGTTGAATCATGTATGTGGCATTAGTTTTATCTGAAACAAATAACACTACCAAACACCAATGAACTCCCATTAAACTCATTAATAACGTACAAGCCATGGTTGTTGCCTCAAACTCAAAGTATGCTTATACCATATTTATCAGCCACAGCTGAAGACAAGTATATTTCTTTGTGAAGGCCCACTGTGTTGTGGTTGTTAATTTCTCTCCTTCAGGTAATTTTTATTCCTGACATTTTTGAGTCTGATTTAGGCTGCATTTGACATTCTTTATTTTAAAGACGACTTGTCTCTGGGCATTTTAACCGCAGAAAGGAGATAAGTCCCAAAAATAAGGAATGCCAAACGAAGCCTTAAGAGTAGTAAAATCCCCAAGCCTATTTGGTTAAGAGAAATTTCTCTCTAGCTACGCAAGAAACCACAATTTATAGTTTTTGGAAAAATTTTGAATTCTCTCATTCTGCAATTTGGAAGGTTCTCTCTGCATGAAACTTTCACGATGTCCATTACACACAAACTATTGCATCTTATGACATCAAACCAAGATTATATAAATCAAACCAGCACAACGTAACATAAAGATAAATGCAATAATCGTCCAACACTAACAACAACATAATTAAAGATAAATGTCATATTTCAAGTACATGCAACAAACCCTGCAAAACATATCAAACCAACACACTATCAAAGCAGAATAGGGTGGACAAGCAACTTGGCAATGTTTTCCTTGGTTCGACCAGCTGAACGAGTAAATTCATCTCCGTGATGGTAAATGACTTCTGCCAATCGTGCAAGATTAAGAGTCCGCATAAGGAAAGGAAAGGGTAGAGCTGCTGGCTTCAAAACATCTTTGTTTATGTCCTTCCATGCTAGTCTAATCAAATTTTCAAGGTATTCGCATGCCTCCACCTTTGAAGCTTTGTTCTCCTTCATGTAGCATTGAACAGCAGAAGCGTCGTGTCCTCTCTTGACCTCCTATCATATGGATAATAACATGGCATATAGAATTATAACGAAAAGTTTTAGTCCTATTTGATGTCAAACCGGCCTTTTCGAGTTCGGATCTACAACCCACTAGTTGTTCCCACATCTATACCCACCGGACATAACAGCTGTGCATCGGGAATATCTCCCTTTTCATTTATGGGGAGATGTTCTCAATACATGACAGTGGAGTTCCGTGGATAGCATGGGAATATCCAGGGAAATGTTCTCAATACACGACAGAAAGTTCCGTGGGTAGCAGCAGATCCAGAGTGAACCTTTTCATGTATCAGTATGAATCTCTAGTCTCTAGTTAAAACCTGATAGGCAGATAAGTTGTACCATAGTTTAATGAATTGATCCAAACATATATAACATAACAACTGCTAATATTTTAAAAGACAAGCATATATTGTGCCCCAACTGTTTGAGCACCATGGTGGATGTTCTAATTAATGACATTAAATTAGAACAGTACATTTTGTATTTTCAAATCCAACAGTTTCAATTATGGGGGGAGAACATATTTTCCACATTGTATATATACCTAAATTTCAACTACCACCTTGTGCATCCTTATTAATGGGTCCCCTAAAGGTTATTTTAAACCTTCATTTGGTCTTATGCAAGGTGATCCACTCTACCTTTATCTCTTCATCATTTCTATCGAAGGTTTATTTTTTCTCATCTCATTTTTTGTACTGAATAGAACAATATTATATTCAAGGTTTTAAAACTTCTAACACTACCCCTTTCATATCCCATTCATCTCTTGTTGATGATGGGAGTTTTTTGTTATGGATTCTTGAGATGGTGTAGCCAACCTTTTGGATTAGATTGAACAATTCCAAAGTGTTTTTGACCAAATAGTTTATCTATACAGATCCAGTTTTTGCTTTTAGTAAGAAAATTCTTCCCAAGTGCCAATGAATGTTGAGAAAACAAATTAAAAAGAGAAAGTTGGATCACAAAGCTAAGTATTTGGGACTGCCTCTTTTGTGGTGTCTTAGTATAAAAGTAAAAACTTAAACTTTGTAGTGAGTTTATCTCAGTTGATCATACCTTTTTTGACCTTATATCATTAGTGAGTCGAACAATTAAACCTGATGATGTAAGCAGCTTGGGCCTAATAGAAACCCAGTCAAAAGCCTCCTTTGTTGCAACATCCCCCATGCTTATGAATGAGGCAACAGTAAGCAAAGGATAGACTGAACCACCACTCCATGAATTACACAAATATTCTTCTCGTCTTGGAAAATATTTTTCATTAAACCATCTTGCTTCCACAAAGTAGGCTTTAATCAATGCTTTCATCTATGATGCACCGAAGTAGAACAAATTTTACATTAGGACATTGTTAAAAGCTTAATGTAATATTAATAACAAACATCATCATGAAGAAATTAAAAGACTTGCATACATACCTCCCTTATTAAGTAGCAAAGATGATTGGGATTTCCTTCTCTAGTCATCCAATCCTCAGTTTCAAAGAAAATATCCATGACTTCTTGAAAGCACAGTCTCATGTATTCAGGCAATCGATCTATGGCTCCATTATCCCATCTAAAAATTGATGCCACAATTAACAACATTCATTTTGAGATATGATTGTCTTGTATGAAACAGTACTTCCAAGTGGACATGTTAATTAACTATGAAACTAACCTTTCTATTGCTTCAGTAAAGAGATGGAGCTCTTCTGATGTACCATAAATATCATAAATGTCATCGACGATTGTTAAAATTGCTATTAACTTAGCTATTAATAGCCTCCCGAAAGAGTACATTGGCTCAAAATACACCCCAAGTGCCCAATAGTAACTTTCTACCAATCTATCTCTAGCAAAAGGGAACTTGGATGCGACATCAATATCTTTCCACCACCTACAAGAACATACATGAGTAGAATAAAAGTCTTAGTCAATAAGACTTGTATTCATATGTATCATCATCAAACCAAGAAACAAAAATTAAAAAAGACCCTCAAAAAAAAATTTTTTTTTTTGCTCCTTGGGGCTATACAATGGTGGTGGATCGAGCTAGGGGGCACCCAAGGGGCCAAATATATATATATATATATATATTTTATATTTTTTGGATTGTCAAGAGTAAAACAGTGGACCAGTTACCCAAGTGCTGTCTTGATTCTTGAATCGCTTCAATTTTTTAAAGTTTTCTTTATATAACTGTTTAATTGAGGAACTCAAGAATGGTTTTGTTAGTTTTTTTTTGTAATTTTTATTGTTAGTTTGTCATTGTGTGAAAACTAAAATTGATTCAATACATTAGAAGTTGAAACACCAAAATGAAAAGGGTTTTACATTTGAGGTACATGTGTACAACTTTATATTTTATGGGTTTTTTTTTCTGTTTTTTTAATTTCTTTCTTGTTTTATTTATAGTTGTATTTTTTCCATTATTCTTCCTCTACAAAATCACTCAAAGGTGAATGAATGAGAATTGGGTTAGACCTTAAAAGATAAAGAAAAGCATAAAGCCATACACCATTAGTTAACCACCATGTACATGAGAAGACAAGAGGAGGAAGAGAGTTTGATGACAATAGTGTACTGCACAGTACATGTTATTTAATAATTGAGATTTGTAGCCAATTAGAATTAAATTACATGTTATTTGTAACAAATTCTAGGTTGTTTTGGTAGAAAAAATCATGGCTGCCGCTAACGATCATTTATAGCGGTAGTTATTTGCGTTTTACCATCAGTCGCTAAAACTGCTACTAAAACCTTTTGCAACAATTGGTTTAGGAAAATTTGCTGACTGTCAGTAAAACTGCTGTTAAAAATCATTTTTGTTGTAGTGATATGGTACACACAGTTTATTTAATTATATTGTACCAATATCTAAGATGATATATGGGAATATCCAAGAATATAGAGGAATGTATATAAGGTAGGAGTTTCCACTTGTTGTGTGATATTCTCTCCCTCCTAAATTAACTAAATTTCTAGAAATTAAGTAAGTAACAATTTTAAAGTAAAAGAATGAAAGGAAATAACAAAAGAAAAATTGCTGAAATTTAAACGTTTAAAGAGGGAAACTTGCCTTGATAGTTCTTTGATTTCTTGTCGGTGCAATTTCTGTAACATGTTGAAATCCAATTTTGCGAGCTCCAGAATTGTTTCATTTCGAGTTCTATCTTCCTCGTAAACAGAGATGTAGTGTCTTGCCTCTAGTCTTGGGATTCCTTTGTGGAGAGGCAGATCTAAAGCATGTTGTACTTGTCTTGCATCAGAAGCACTAAGATTGGCCATCATGGAATTCAAGTTCAAGTTGGTGAAAGTGATAGCTTCATCCAATATACCTTCTCCCTCTACACTAAGGTGAGCAGCCTCGTATAAACTCAGCATTCCTTGCCAATCACTTATTAAGGTAGCTTGGAAGTTACCAGTATCATCCTTCAACTTGCTAAATACATCTATTCCACCATGCCAAATTTTTAACCATTAGAATTTACCTTTGAGTGATTGAAGTGATGGGCAAATTTGGAATATAAAGAAAAATTTTAAAAAATAAATATTTTGGTTAAAAGTAACTGCATGTTGAAGTTTGGGACTGTATCAAAAGGGGTCTACTTGGAACTGTATCAAAAAGTGCAAAAAAGGTGATTACAATTACCAAACTTTGGGAGAAGTTTCATTCACAACAACCAGAAACTTGAGGGAAGGTTTCAACAATTTACCTTTTTTGTTGTTTTCCACTTTATATAAGGTGATGAATGTGGTAATAAATGGTTGGAAGGGGAGTTATCGGGCGATGCATTGAACCCATGTTGTCTCAATAACCGAAATTGAAGTGCGCTGAAATTGACATCATTATCATAGTTGGGTTTGATTGGAGATTCATACATCCTTAGCAATGCTTCTTCAATCTCTTCTTCAAAATGATAACCCAAACCTAGACGTTCCACTGCATCAATCAACTTCATTTCTTCCAATTGTGATTCATTTGCAGCAAGCTTGAACATCCTCTTCACTTCCTTCTTTAGTTCTTATCATCAACCTGATTGACCACAATAGGTAAATTACTTAGAAGCATATTTTAACTTAAGAATAGGTACTAGAAATTAATTCTTCTAGCCAAAAGATTGCAGAGAAAAAAAAATTCAATTGATATGTGTGATGCATTACAAATATTGGGTGGATTTATTTTGGCCAAATTTTTGTATAACGTTAAAGTTATACAAACGAGTAAGGTCCATCTAAAATGCCATTATATTTGACAAAATCCATAAAATGACATTTTTACCCTTCAATGTGTTTCAAATTTTCAAACACAAGTCTATTCATCAAGATCTAAAGCTGACATGGGGAACTTGCAACATTGCTTCATTAGGAAGATAGGTGAGGACATTTTAATTATCATAACAGTTTAGTATTTTAGTTGAAGTTTGTACTGACATTCATTCCAATTGATGTGTATAGGCAGAGGAACAGAATAGTTAGGATTTGAGATACTCCCAACCGTGAGAGAGCCCATATGAAGACATAACTTTCAGTTGTTATATTTTTTGAATTTTGGTATATTTTGAATTTTGATATATTTTGACACACCCATGTTGTGATATATTTTAGACATATAACTTTCAGAATTTAAACTTATACTTAGTTGTGATGGTTATTATTCTATTCAACAGAATAGAATTTAAACTTATACATAGTTGTGATTGTTGTTTTATTATTCTATTCAATAGATCAGAATTTAAACTTATACTTAGTAGTGATGATTGTGTTATTATTCTATTCAACATATCATAATTTAAACTTATACTTTGTTGGTCTTTGGTCCATTATGTCTCCATAAGGCACCCAACAGATCAGAATTTACATGTACATAGTGGAGATATAAATAATTTATATCACTACTCAAGAGACTGCCTTTGATCCATTATGTCTCCACAAGGGGTTGTGTTATTATTCTGTTCACTGTTCAAGAGACAACTTGGTTGGATGAAGGGGCTTTCTAAATTACCTCCATTCCATCTCATAAATATGGATTCAAGAGACAACTTATTTTCTTAGAGGTCCAAATCATGCTACCTACTGTATAGAAATTGATTATTAGGTTCAAATATATTACAACTTGTTTTCTTAAGGTTATGGGTGTGAATCAAATATATTACAGCTTGTTATGGGTGTGAGTCAAGCAAAATGTTTTCTAATCTGAAATTAATCTTAGAAAATAAAGATTCATGCCATAGAAGCATGATGGCTTAGCTTATTTAATGGCCAAGATAGCAATGATATTTGTTTCAGAATGATAATTGGACAATAAACATACCATAATATTAGACTTAACAATATATGAAAAAAATATTCACAACTGTTTGATAAAACATATGAGAGAGAGAGAGAGAGTTATGAGAGTCATCCCTACATATTAAACAAACACCTTCAAACACTAATGCAAAATTAGAAAGCCACATCATGCATCTTTTATGCGTAAATCCTTGATACACTTCAATAATTTATTAGAAAATTCGGGCATCCTATCCAAACTATCCTTCTCAGATTGTACAACTGCTACTACTTCATCCAATGTATCCCTAGATGACCTTTCATTTATTTCGGAATGTCCTGAACCATCACCCGTTTTCATGGTTACATTATCCACCGGTGTTACCCATGAAAAGAATTTACAGCCACCTGCATCCTACAAAAATAATTGAATTTTCATAAGTCATTGAACCAAAACAATTATGGAATAACATATTTTTTTCTTACCTAAGGCTTTGCGCACACCCAAGACTGTTTTCCTTGGCTACTAGGCTTTTTTCGATGTGAACACTCGACATAGCCTAATGCCACAAAGACACATCATTTCTTCATCTTTCCATAAGAAAAAATTGCATCATTTATTGGGGGCAAACTACAACAAATACATGTTATTTAACATAAAATATGTTAACCTATATAGAACATTTTGGGCAAACTACAACAAAATTACCTAACTAATAACCTACATAGTAGTGGCACCCATAGAACTGTCAGTCAACATTCTCAGACTTTTCATGCCTAGCCACGACAATGACACACTCTCCACTTCATGGACACACCACATTCATAGTGACGAATCACAATTGGTGTACTTGCAATCATTAGAAGAACAAATTAAACGTCACATACGAGTGACTGGGCATATGGGGTGGAAGGGGT